GCACTTTAAAGGGAGCTTACAAGCCAAGATCAAAAAAATTGTCAATAGAGACTCGTAGAACTTTGAACTCACGATACTAAAGTAGGTTGTCTCACTAATGCTGTTGATTTTTTTCTCTATAGATTACTTATGAGCAAATTTTTTAGTCATAGGTGTTGGTATAAGGATGACATCATTTATGAGCTTAGAAGTTTGTCAAGACTTTGGACTAAAAGTTTGTTGGTCTGTATGCAGTGTCATTACTACATTGAAAAGGTCAATACGTAAAAAATTTGAAACTTCATTTTAGTAATGCTTTCTTGTTATGCATTGGTGTTAAAAAAGTTAGTGTCTGGTGATTGAGTCATGCATTTTCTGATATCCTGAAGTGATTCTCGAATTTAGGAGTCTCCATCTGACTCTGTTTACTGTGATTTTCAACTGTAAAATTTACTGGTGACATGAATTGCACTGATAGATATCTGGTGAAAGCACTGGAGATATAAAATTCTTAGTCCCTGATACTATCACTTGGAATCTGGAAGCTACATGTTGATGCTCACAATTTTGATAGCCACATCAGTAATTTGGAGATCTCTCGTAAAGTATTTACATTTTTTGTAAAGCTGGATTTATATTACCAGGCTGATTCTTCTTATAGACTCTTGGTTAATGCCTCAAGGAATAGACTATATTTTGAGAGCTATAGATGGTCTTGGGCTGTAGTATAGGAATGACACCTTTCCTCTAATGTTGTGTAGAGGAGGATATTGAACCATGGAAGAGTGCCTGAAGTGATAATACAGCAAAAGGAATTCATGAGATGTGGTATGTATACTGTTACCTCTGTAAAACTTGATTTCAAAGATTTCGATTAACTCACTCTCTCATGCAGGTTGGTAAGCTAAATGCTGAGTGATACTGTAATACTTTGCTTGTGTGATCTGCGAAATGGTATTGAAAAAGATCTCGTGAACCCTGGGGCTCAGCAGACTATTCTTGTTGCTCCCACAACTGGAGGCTATGAGCAAGATGGAGGTACTGAATTCACCTAACTGAATGCTTTTGTCTGTTACACTTGTAAAGCTTGGACTGTCAGTCTGTGAGGTTGGTCTCTGTGAATTGTTGCAGGTGGAACATACCAAGTTGCCTTTTGTGTGATTATCACTAGTTGGAGCCTGAAGTAGATCGCTCCATAGGAGAAACCTTTGACTGACTTAAGGAATATAGAAAATTATGGTTATTTTATAGCAAACTCTAAATGTTTTAGGCACCGTTATTGTTAGACTAATGGGCTTTTCCATAACTTAGCTGTTACATGCAAAAAGTAAGATAAATATCTACTTTGTACTGCAGTATTGGAATCTTGTTATCTTAAGGGATATAATTCAGCTTGACAAATAAAAAGAAACTTATTCGTGCATGTCGAGATCTTTTTCTAGTGGTCTTGGCTTATGTAATGTAAGCGTAAACTGGTCATGCCTTGTGGGTCGACATGTTACTGTCATTCAAGTCCATTTAAAATGTACTCTGTTGCTTAGTCATTATTATTTCTATTTATCAGCATTTGTCTGATGGACTGTGTATCCTGTTCTTTAACTTTGCAGCAATACACTCTGGAAGATGATGTTACACTCCCCCATGAAAGCTGCTATGTGGAGGTAGTGGCTTATCCAATCTGGAATTGTTCCAAATACAAAACACATTGTGTCCTGTTAGGCCAATCTTCCTAGTATAATCCCCATGTGATTAATCATTAGTCACATATTTTATACGTTTATGATGCCTTCAATTTTTGTGATGCAGAGATATGGAGCAAGTGAGGGTGCTGAGGGCAATATAAGCTGCCGGGACTTTATATTTCCAGTATTGAAACTCAAAATGTACAAGATCTGGCAAGTGCTTGGAATGCAATATAGGAGCTTGCCAACTATGATGCTTGAATGCTTATTTCTTGGTGTACTAACTCTGTAAGGTCCCGACATACTATAAGAAGCATTTCCGAGGAGTACGAAAAACCAATACAGTTAAAGGTAGAAGATAGGAAAAGAATACTTTTCTGGTATGACAATTGGGTGGGGAAGGAATTACTCCTCTACGAGACAGGTTCCCGATCTCTTCAGTTTTGCAGAAAACAGCAGGGGTTAAAGTCAATGTAGAAGCAATCAAGGTTGGTTAGTAAAATTTAGAAGAAATTGTACTGATTGGGAAGTGGAGAATATGGCTCAGCTTCTTCAAGGTCATCTACTTTATAGCTCACACATTCAGCCTGACAAAGCTGACTCTCATAGTGATATTGTGTATCGTATCAGATTTTATTTTTACAGGAAACTTTCACCCTACTAACACAAAAGGCATAATTTTTTTATTATTAAAAGGGTGAAATTTTCGTGATTTTTCTATTAAATAATACATAGTTATGTGACTGTAAATAATCATTATATACTGCAAGAATTTATTACACACTGAGTGATGATTATTTCAGAGTTGTACAATTGCTGCAAGAGTAGGTTGCTCATTGTAACTTTGATCTTTGTTGTCACAAGGGTGAAAGGATAAGGCATTTTCAGTTGTATTAGTGTCTTGGGTGTTTATTTCTTCTTTTTTCGCACTTCAACTATTCCAACGATTACCTATCACCTTGATTGATAACTCTGTCTATCAAAAGTAGGTATTCAAAGGCCAAGAAAAGCATTTTATGTCATTAGAAATTGAAGTGTCGAGTATGTGCAAATGTTATATAATGCACCAAGACGAGAGAACCTCCTTATGCACAAAATCAGAGAAGATTAAAGGAATAGTCAGTATATTATCTGGATGCTTTTCGCGGCATTTTGGCTAAAGATCAAGTGTAGTATCTGTTCTTATAAATAGCCAACAAAATAATGACCATGTTTAGTTAACGCATATGGTCGATAAAGATACATAGAACAACACAAAGGAAAACTCAAGTTTATTTAAAAGAGAGATGATTTACAAAGGCCACACTAAACACTCTTTTTCTTTTTTTGTTCTTATTTTTCTTTTCTTTTTTCTGTTACTTTTCATTCTTGAAAAGAGTCGCATATTGCAAGCATAATTGTCCATACATTTGAAAAGGGCAACACAAATGCATTATTCATTATAAAGTTTCATGAATCAGTATTTTGACAGCTTCACTCATTCTCTGAAGCAACTCTAAGTATGAGAATAACGCGCACAAATCCGCTGCTGGATCAGGCTCCTACAAGAAGGACATTCTTTCATTCCCTGCTTCTCATGAAGCTCGTTGCATGTTGTGCATACCACTTGATGAGCACATGGCAGAAAAACCACAGACATTTCCTCTGACAAGCACATGACACACTCACGTTCTCGTTTCACCCCTCCATCCTGAGAATATTCCTCAAAATCTGTCACAAATGTGGAGATATAAGGTATTTCAGTGTCCTTTGGTAATTGAGCATTTCTAAAGTCAGTCAGTTTGCTTGCATAGCTTCCATCTATGCCTCTTTTTAGAGCGGCTATCTTTGAAGAATCGGTCTTTAGTCTGAGCTGGGATATTTCCTTTTCTAGCCTTTCAATATCATCTTTATACTTTTGTAAACTACTTTCAGCTTTTAATTTGGTCATATCCTCCTTGGATTTGGCTGAAGTTTCAATCTCTTCTCTCTCTTTCCTTAGTGAACTAGCCTGCCTAAGTAAATCTTCCGTGGCCTTCATTTCCTGCTTCCATCTACCCTGCAAGACATTGGCTTGTCGGTAAGATCATTCACTTGTCTCATCGGGAGAACATACATTAGCATAAGAACATTGGTCCAAAGCACAATGGTCTTTGTATTATGAAAGAGACCTGCAACCTAATAACCACTCCCCTTGATATGTTTGCATTTAGCAATTTCAAATACTAAAAGGCAAAAAGGAAGTGTGTCAGATGAAAATCATTGATGATGGTAACAACTCCCTCTCCTCCTGGACTCATGGTTGAAGGAAGAGGGTCCTTTCCACTAGACTATCCCTCCCTTGTCAAACTTGACAAATATGCTTCATTGAGAATTCTGATGTTGTACAGTTTTTACCAATACTTAGGTAAGGGTAAAACAAATTCGAATGTCATGTTAAGAGATTATGATGATGGAAAATGCAAAGTCTCAAGTGAAGCAAGAAATTAAAATCTTTCTGTTCATGCTTCTTTGAATCTGCAATCTGAAGTCATTTTCAGAGCTCTCAACCGCAGCGATGCATGTAAGAGGCCAGTGCCAACAACCTATTCCTATAATTCCACCTATTACCATTTCGTCTTGAGATCCATTTGAGAAATTTCTTTAAGGTTAATCACTTTGGTGTCGTTTGATAGGATGCATAAGAAAAAATAATGCATGCATTAACTTTGTGTATTACTAATACCTTGTTTGGTACACTTTTCCAATCTATGTATAACTAATACACTCTATTTGGTATTATGTTATATATAACTAATACATGGCAAACTAAGGGTATAGCAATCCAAGGATTTTTAATGCATGCATTAGCATAGTTAAAAGACACAATAGTCATTCAAAAACTTTTCCACATCCTTCCCAGTGTATTTTAGGAGGGTATTTTTGCAAACAACAACAACAACCCAGTGAAATCCCACTAAGTGGGGTCTGAGGATGATAAAGTGTACGGTGACCTTGCAACAACACAATCCATTTTAGCAATTACGCAATGCTTGTTATTTTTAATACACCAAACCAAACAGTGCATAAGGAATAATCTCAGGATAACTACTACCAGCATTACTAATACACCCTATTCAACATTATTCTTATACACCCTACCAAAGGCCCCTTCAAGATATATCAAGAGATGTGTTCTGCAAAATTATGTATATCAGACATCAATGTCAAAGCATATTGAATTCAACAGATTAAATGCAACAAGACATTCTCTTATAAGAAAAATAAAAGGCAACAAGACACTATGGAAGGTGGATATACCTCATTCCCATTGTCAGGACATCTATTTGACTTTGAACAACAAGCTATCCACTTCAAAAACGCTATACAAAGTGAGGAAAATTGCACTGAACAAATATGCTATGCACCCATACTAACAAAACAATGTAAAAAGAAGACGGGAAAATCCTTGCATCATTTAGATGCTAATCCATACTCTTGCTTATACCTAGAGAAATTTTGCGTACGAGAGTCGAGTCATTCTCAGATAAAGAATCCAGCAGACAAAAGTTCTCATGTTCATTTTTCAAATTCTCAAACTGCATAAGTTGGAAGATATATTCCTAATATGCATATTATAGACATCAGGTGATTGTATCTGGAAGAACACATAAAAATAAAATAATTGCATTTACCAGTCACCACAACCTTCTCTTGGGAGAATGAAGTTGGAGAGGGAGAGAGAGAGAGAGAGTGACGTTCAAAAACCACGTCAAGTCATTTTTAAAGCAAACACATACAAAAGGTTCATTCATATTTATCATCTTAGATTTATCTCTCAAATAGTAAAAAGGTCGCAAGTCCTGAAGTTCAGATTGCATGAAGCTTTTATCACAGAGATGTCGGCTTGTCAATGACTGATGCAGAGGTACGTCAGTAGAGAGCCAGAGAACCACCATACCAGTTATTCACAATTTTTTATCAAGAGTCTTATATAACCTTCAACATATTTACTAGCATAAAGCTTGTAAAATAGTATCTTCTTACCTAAGTTCTGCAGTTCTTCTGTTTAATTTTATCCTTTTTATTCTACAGCATGAATGGCTGAAGGTCACAGTACCTAACTAGATAATAAAACCTTTTTAACTTGGTTGAAGCCTAAGTTTTCTTTGACAAGAAGCATCTTGTGAAGAAGTTGTGATCTTATTCTCCCAGTAAACATACCTCGAGCTGGTTCAGAACATCTTTCGCTTGCTCCAGTTGTTGTTGCAGTTCCACCAGCTTTCGTCGTTCAGCTGCCAGTTCATCCTGTAATATAGCTTTCTGCTTCTCCCATGACTGGAACTTCACGAGTGTCTTCTTTTCCCTCTTTGATACTTCCTGACAGCTTGCAGCTAACTCTGCTGCACGCAATTTGGCAGCTTCCATATCCCTCTTTAGTAAATCCTTCTCGATCTCAAGCCTACGAACAGCCGCATTAGCTCGTTCGAATTGTCCCTTAGCCTTAAACAAGGCATTCTCCATCTCAGCTAGCTTTTTCATGGTATTTTCCTCCAAACTCTGCTTCTCTTTCTTCAGCCTCTCCACTTCTTCTTTTTCTTGCCGAAGTGTCTTAAGCTCAGCTTTGTCTTTACTCAGTCTACGAGCGGCTTGCATAACCTTCTGATTGGCCCATTCTGTCCACTCTTGGAGCTGACCTTGCAATTCGCGAACCCTTGGAACTAACTTTAGAATCATTTCATCTTTCTTGTCTTGAGGAACCCATTGAGCAATAGATTTTTCATTAGGAATCATATTAAAAGCACAAACACCGGCCCCAGCGTTATAACTAAGAGGCATTGGGGTCATGTTGCTGGCAGGGAATGAGAGCGATAGCTCAGTATCAGCAGCAGGCAATGCAGGTGAAGTACTGACTTGCGGTGATGAAGAAGGGATATTTGTATTAGGTAATGGAACAAGTCCATTGCCATTATTGGACCCAAAAACTGATGTTGAAGAAAATCCATTATTTGTTGAGATACTATGGTGTACATTATCTTTTCTCCCAGCAACAGAGATCTTATTGACCTTCAATGAAGCGTTCTTTATATTCATGCCAGCAGAGTCTGCCATGGACTTAAGTTTATTATCTAATACTAAACCACTAAAACTATTGAATTTCCTACTGACCCCTTTTGAACTGTAAGTGCGATAATGTTTCTCCAGATGTAGGGACTTTTGCCTAAGTATATACTCCCTTTTGGTGATGCCAGATACCTTTCTAGTACCCACAAACTCCTCCTCAACGGTTGGAGGATTGGGTGCTCCTGTGGCCGTAAAGGTTTTATCAACAGTGTCAAACAGAGAACTTGAAGAATCTTTCTCTGGGATAATTCCAGTCAGAGCAAATGAAGGTTTAGGTTTGATTTCATGGACTCCTGGCATATTGGATGCCTCCAACTGGAAGCTATGCCCAGAAATAGCAGAAGCGACATTGGAAGTCTCAGACGAACAATGTGCACAAGCAACTAAAGGATTTGGCTTACAGGGAATTCTAGTGATGGATTCAGAACTTTTGACCTCGGATTGCAAATTAGGCTGCACAGAAGCAGAGGAGTTTTCACTCCCGTCACCAACCAAACTACTCAAAGGATCACTTTCCATTGCACAAGCATGAGATACATTCATATCACATATTAGCAAGCACCACATTGCATCACCAGTGCTAAAGAAAGGCCTAACTTCCCGCAGAACACAGACCAATTCCGCCAACACATACTTTTCCATTTGCAGCAAATCCTCAAAATAATGCTCCCCGGATGAGTCAATGTCATGGCCGCTACGAAGAAAAACCAATGTATTCTCCA